TTAAGAAATGCTTCTTGGGGCTGGAGAGAAGACTCAGCAGTTGACAGAGATTTCTGTGTGAAAATGAGCATCAGAGTTCAAATCCCAGGACTCATGTAACATACCAAACATCCCATACACACATGTAACCCCAGATCGGAGAGGTTCAGGGAGAGACTCTCAAAGGAATAGGTAGAGAATGATAAAGAAAGATATCCCGTGTCTTCTGGTTTTTGCATGTGGGCAGAGGCACACACACTCACACACAGGAATATACATATATGTGTGTGTGTGTATACACAGCAGGTTCTCTGTGCATAAATTATGGCTTCCAGTTTAGTGATCTAATGGACTTCTTGGGCGTGCTAATGAGTGGGTCTCTGATTTTTGTGCCTTCTCTTGAGTTTTTTTTTCCTTCTGTTTGTTTTTGTTCAATTCTGATGTGTTGATTTTTTTTAAGTAATTTATTTTTATTATATGTTCATTGGTGTTTTACCTGCTTGAACATCTGTGTGGTGGGGTCAGAAGCCCTGGAGCTGGAGCTGCAGACAGGTGTGAGCTGCCGTGTGGGTGGGGTGCATGGAATTGAACCTGGGTCCTCTGGAAGAGCGCCCATGCTCTCAAACGCTGAGGCATCTCTCCAGCCCATTGATTTTTGTTTCACCTTATTGTATTTTATTATTGTCCTTTAGAAACCTGTTTGTTTTCTAATGAGAGACAGAAGGGGGGTGAATGTGGTAGGAGGGGAGGTGGGGAAGAACTGGGAAGAGTAGAGAAGGGGAAACCATAATCAAGATATTGTTGTGCGACGGGGGAAAAAAATCTATTTTCAATAAAGGAAAAAATTCCTTTTTCCACTAAAAAACAAAAAGGAAATTCTTTGTGAGCAAGTGCAGAATGGTAGTGAAGCTCACAGACAGTGGGTAGCATGGGTTTGTGTCCCTGGGTTAAATCCCTGACCTGGCACAGTGGGTGACTATGCCACATGCCAGTCTTATGACGTTCCTCATGCTTGAGTTCAAGTCTACCGTGTAGGCTCATTCTAAGCTCTGAACACAGGACTCACGAACAGAAACCCCTGAGCTGTGGTGTGGCATGAGCATGAAGAAGGTTCTCCAAACTGGGGGGCTCTTAGCAGACTTTTAAGCTAATATCAGGTCATCAGGACAGGTGTCATCTTTGTTGGTAAACTGATTCTCTGAGTCAAGTTCAGCAGACACTTTCTGGAGTGAAACTGAGCAGACAGGGACTCAGAAAAAGTCACTAGTGCATGGGACGCCTGTTCCTAGCTTTCCACATGCTCAAGGCAGAACACAGCTGGGTGACAGATTCTTGGACAGTTCTTGCTCTCGCAAACAAGCCTGTGCCTTCTCAATCTTTGTACATTATTATTTTGGCTTACGTGAAATATCTAATGTTTTCTCTACAAACAAACATAAAGTAGAGGGAATTCTAGTTAAGATTTCCCTAGGAATTCATTAATCATTTATCATTTATCCGGGAAAAGGGTGGCCCAAACATGGAGGGGAGCAGTTAGTAAAATATAATTAACCAAAGTGTTATCAAGGAATGCAAGACCAATGTAGGTCACTAGATCTGGGGCTTGAAACTAGCAAAATGTCAATCTTTCCTTTTTTTTAAAATTCTGATAGTACATTTTTTATTCTAATCTAGTTAAAAAGAACAAAGGTGTTTTGATTTAGGGCCCAAAGGGTTGCCTGGCTGTCAAATGCCCTTGCTGCTCTTGCAGAGGATCGCGTTCTGTTCCTGGCCACATGGTGGCTCACAGCTGTGCATAACTAGCTTCAGGGGCTTCGTCTGGTCTTTCCCAGTACCTGGGCACACACAGGGTACTATGTATGCAATTGTGCAAACCGGCACTCATACACATGGAATAAACATCAGTAACTTTTTTTTTTTAATTTTTGGATAATATACAGTTTTTTAAAATGTTCAGCTGACCAGTTTTACCTGTGTTGTACTCATAGAATTTTATGAGGTTGGGAGCCTAATACCTAACCTGTGCCAATGACGGCAGCCTTAAATTCAAGTCAGTGTGTTCCACTGTTTGTCGCAAAGACCCATCAGCAGGTGGCTCTGACACCGTCACACGCCTGCTTGTGAGGCATCCTAGGCTTCTCAGCACTCAGTCTGTGAAGGGTGTGTTCCTTTTGGAGGTAACCCAGAGCTTTCTTGTCTGTGGAACCTTCTAGATGGCAGATAGTCACACAGGTCATATCTAGAAGAGAACGTTCTATAGTTGCAGCAAAGCTCATTTTTTTATGAATAGAGAATATATGAATATAAGAATTCCTATTAAAACTACAAAAATAACGAAATCTGTTTGTACAAGTTGCCTAAAACACCCTGTACATTGTAAGCCTCGAAAACACCATGTACTTTATCAAATCAGTGTACTCAGTGCATCACCCGCTGAGTTCTGGTGAGACTGCTAAGAGTAAGTAGAAGTATTATTTCTGTTCTACTAACACAGGTTATAAATACAGGGAGATTAGGGGACACCTAATCAGTGAGGCCTAGAGATGGGATCCCAACATGGACTCCAGCCTCCTTAGCAACTACAGGTGTTATATTTTCCACCTGGGCTCCCTACTCGGTAAAATCAATGTTTTAGTCGTCCTTTTCCAATCAGACCAGAAAAGTCAGCGTATGTTGAGAGGAAGGTTGAATACTCAGTAGCTAACAACAACCTTAGTAACAGTCAAGAAGCAACTCTTAGCCCAGCAAATAAATCACTGCAAATGGCCAACCCCTGTGCATTTTGGTTAGATAATATGTACATTTTTCAGAATTGTAAAGGCATAGAATAAAGTATTCTTGCCCAACATGGCTCTGCTCCCTACCGCAGAGATAGCAGTGGGAACCGTCAGTGTCCTCGGGAAAACATGGATGCCTCTGGGTTGTTTATGCATTCCATCACCATTTTCTCCAAAAAATGCAAATGCCGTTGCGCTTTCATCTTTCCTTTCTCAGCGGATGAGGCGCCTCATTTACGTTTGCAATTCAGAGAATTCAAGTGTTCTGGAGAGCCCCTGAAGGCGGTCAGTAGTTAGGGTTAGCTCTTGCTCCTCTGCTAGGTGCTGTAGCCAAACGCTAAGTTTCTGCTGCTGGGTTAGTAGGTTATACAATGCAAGGTTCTTATAAGTCCTGCAAATGCAGAGAGCTGGATCCAGTGCTTTGGAAGGATGCTGTATTAGAAGGGACCAGCCTCCAGGAAGCAGGACTTCTGGCTTATTGGGACTTTTTTTTTGAAAACCAGATTCTTCAAAAATTTTTTTTTGAAAAAATATTTTTTTGAATTTTTCTTCAGTAGTTCCTATGAATCTTGGCAAACCAGGCCCCTCCCATCCAAAAGAGTAGGCAACAGGAAAGCATCATCAGAACTAGGACTGCCCATGGCACTGAAGAGAATTCAGGAAAGACTCGGGGATGCACAAGGTAAAAAGCAGCAAGTCTAGGCAGCAACAGTGTGGTTTGCATTCACTGTGACAGGAAATGAGGGTTACCAAGGGTCTTTAAGTCCAGGACGCAAAGGTGTGGTTAGTGATCACCGTGACCAGAGATGAGGGTTACCAAGGGTCTTTAAGTCCAGGACGCAAAGGTGTGGTTAGTGATCACCGTGACCAGAGATGAGGGTTACCAAGGGTCTTTAAGTCCAGGAGGCAAAGGTGTGGTTAGTGTTCACCGTGACCAGAGATGAGGGTTACCAAGGGTCTTTAAGTCCAGGAGGCAAAGGTGTGGTTAGTGTTCACCGTGACCGGAGATGAGGGTTACCAAGGGTCTTTAAGTCCAGGAGGCAAAGGTGTGGTTAGTGATCACCGTGACTGGAGATGGGATTACCAAGGGGCCGAATGGCACAGTCAGATCTCCTCTGAGAGAAGATGGCAAATGGCTCCTAGCAAGAAGTGACTGAAGTAGACAGGGAGCCAGTTAGACAAGTTCCCTTTGTTCAAATGACTTCTGACTAATTACAGAGTCCAAACATTTGGTTTTTATATCAAAGCACACGCGGCTTTGTGAAAACTCCAAGTCAAATATCAAAACGTTAGTGCATCTTGCAGATTAGATTCCTTTCTCCCAGTCATGCAGCTCGCTACAGTTTGCAGCAAGCTCAGATTAGATGCCTTTCTCCCAGTCACACAGCTCACTACAGTTTGCAGCAAGCTCGGTATCCCAGCAGAAGGAGAGCAACTGCACACACTTAGTGTTAGTGCCACAACTGCTTGCCGTTGTCAAAGAGAGGTGACAGTGCCTTTTCCCCCACAAAGACCTTCTCAGAGACTCTGTCCCTGCTCCTTCGGCATGGCTCCTAATGTGGTATGTGGGAGGTGGGTTTCTCTGACTCCAGGCTTTCCCTCCAGGAACTGGATGGGGCTTTGGGTCAAACCAGTGAACCCATGGCCCCTTCCCCTTCGCAGCAGATGGGAGCCGGCCTCCCTCCCAGCTCTCAGACAAGTTGAGAGCAAAACTAAATGGGACCTGAGAGAAAAGGACTGCACAGATGGACAGGAAACCATTTCCAAAATGACCCATTCATAGGAATACAGTAGAGAGGCATGGAGGAAGGAAAAGTCACGTCCTGTGATAGTCACACGTTAAAAATGATAGTTAGTGTCACCTTGTCCCTGGACTCAGATAGGTTTTTGTTAATGCCTGTGGCTTCAGCAAGCCAGACCTCAGAATAGGCCGGGTTTGTACTGGGCCGGTCAGAAGGCTGTGTTTGTTTTCCTGGTGGTGGTGTACTGGAAGCAGTTGCATCACGCAGCCCCCCTCCCTCCTCGGAGCAGCAACCAATGCTCTGCTGGCTTTTGCAGATGCTTGCAGGTCTGGGGATACAGGTTGGGCTGAGCCCAAAAGGAGGAGCTTACACCTGTGCGCAAAAGCTGGAAATCAGGCAGAGCACAGAGGGAACCAGGACGAGCTGAAAGAGCCCACGCTTTCTGGTAAAGAGGCCCCGTGACCAGTTCCAGCCACCCTTAGTCCCGCCCAGACTGGCAACTCACATAAAAGACCTAGGAGAGCCCAAGAAGTCACAGTGCTGGCTGTGAGGGGCTGGGAATGCCAGAACACCCGGACGCCATGAATTGGTTCCTGCAGCCCCGGAGTTTCATTCTCTGCTGCACGCTCTTACTGTTCTCTCAGACGGGCCTGGCGGTGAGTACCCTTCAAAGGCCATATTGTTTTCAACGCAAAAAACGAGAAACGATCGGCACTACTAGCAAAATGTTTGTGTTTTTCCCCACAGTATGTCGCTACCAAAGAAAACTGCTGCATCTTAGATGAGAGATTCGTAAGTAGTTTCTTCGTCGCCCCCTCTCCTGGAACTAGAGGAGGATGGGAAGACAAGGCAGTTCTTCCAGATTCCAGTTGACGCCTTAAGCTTTAACATTTCCGGGTAGGACTTGAGACTCCTCTTCTTGGGGTATTCAGTCGCCTCCTCATTGATTTGCAGGGTAGTTACTGCCCCACCACCTGTGGCATCTCAGACTTCCTGACCTCTTACCAAAACGATGTGGACAAAGACCTCCGGGATATGGAGGAAATCTTAACCAGTGCCACAAACAGAACCGCGGAAGCCAAAGAACTGATCAAAACAATCCAAGTTTACTACAACCCCGACCAACCCCCAAAGCCAAGTGAGAAAGCCCGCGGAGGGGTTACCTTCTCTGCCCTTAGCTGAGCTGTTTGCTTACGTGGTTCCTCTGTCTCTGGCCCCGTGTCACAGGTATGGTAGAGAGTGCCACTCAGAAGTCGAAGAAGATGACGGAAGAAATTATGAAATATGAAGCGCTGATCCTGACACACGAGACAAGTATTCGGTGAGTGTCTGGGTTTTAACTTGCTCTCCACGGCAGATTGAGACTTTACTTAATTATTTCACGTTTCACAGAAAGTGATCTGGGAGTGTATCTTTCATTCAAAATATCAAATTGGCATGAACCCCGTGGATCTAGGAACTTTTAGCACAAAATAAGTTGCACGAGCTTGTAATTAAAAACCACCTCAGAGGAAGGCTATCGTAGCTGTCTTCAGACGCCATCCTGGCCCTGCTTGCCTGGATGGCCTCCGTCCCCTTACAAGGCAAAACCAAATGCGTGGGAATTGGGGTGTGGAAATACAATCCTCTTCACAAATATGTCACCAAAGCAGCATTAACCTGCTGTCCACAACCGCAGAGAACCTATACAACAAAGAGGCCCCTAAGAGCCTAGAGACAAGATCTCCTGAGTAAACTGGGAGTGTGGGGGTCATGAGAGGGGGTATGGAGGGAGGGGGAGGAGAGGAGCCGAGAAGAATGGATAGCTCAATAAAAACAATAAAAAAAAAGAAATCAGAAAGCAGACAGGAGAAGGGACTTGGCTCCTCTAGCAAATCTTGTCAAAGGTGGAGAAAGGAAACATCTTGCAGCCCCTTGACCACAGCACATGGCCCCGGAACTGCCGACTGCCCTCTGTGCTCACTCCTAACTTCCCAGGAACTCTGGGCCCTTGGGTGCAGTCTGAACTCCTGCCCTGTTGTCCCCAAAGCTGAGCTCACAGCGCCATCAGAAACAGAGCTAGACGGTAGCTGGGGAGAAGAGGCCTCAAACATATCTCTCGCCTTTCTGCTATGAGAAAGTACTGCTTGTTGCTACAACTGTCATTAAAAATTCCATTAATCTATAGTTTATGTAAATTGAATTATTGTTCCAATTTCCACTGCTTTTGTTCTTCATCAAAGTATAAGGAAACCATTGTGAGAAAATTTTCCAGAACAGAGGAGCAAAGTGGCCCAATAATTTGTCCCTCTGCCTTACTTCAAAGACAGTTTACGCATTGTTCATAGCGATCTGTCATTTCTGAATATTCATAAGCAACCGTGTGAGGGACGACCAAGACAAAATTCCTCACTTTCACTGGGTGTTTTCTAGAGATATGGAAATAGGAAGGGAAAGTAGCTACTGCTGCGTGGTTAGTTTCCCAGGTGCCCTTCCCACCTAAGTTATAGACCAGATGGAAAGCCCTACACGGCCTGCCTGTGTGAGCTACTGCTTAGCCAGGCCTCCCACCCACACGTTAGCACCCAAGTCCCCTCATAGGAAAGGGAAAGGGCAGAAAAGCCTCCTACAGTGACCTTTGTTTATTGACAGGGACTTTGGTGTTTGTGTTCAAGGTTGAGACAGCCTGCCCCCTCCAAGTCCCAATGACCCTCCTGCTGAAATGGATTAGGATTTTATTTTTCTTTTCCCAAAAGGTTCAATTTAATTTGGCAATCCGAAATTTTGCAGTTTCCCAAGAATGAAGTAAACTATCTCAGAGGAGTGCTCGAGAAAATAAAACAGCATTTCCAACAGAACAGAATAAAAGTGTGTTCTTCTGAAAGAAGGGCTCACCCTGTTACCACATGGCTCTGTTTCTAGGTATTTACAAGAAATGTATAATTCAAATAACCAGAAGATCACGAACCTGAAACAGAAGGTAGCCCAGCTTGAAGATCAGTGCCAGGAACCTTGCAAGGACACCGTTCAGATCCACGACACAACTGGGAAAGGTAGGGAGGAAATTTACCCCAGGATCAGGGTCATTAAAGCAAGCAGCAGAGATAAAAGCCATTGTGCAAGGCACAGCAAGTCTGGAAAGCTTCTGGCCTTAATCTTAAATCTCAGGATCCAGCTGCCCAGAGTTTTCTTGGGCGCTAATCACTAATTTGGAAGGAATGGAAATAGGAAAGCCTAGGGAGGCAGCCAAGACTCTTACCTGGGTCCCAAGCTGCTGCAGCACTGATATTGGATTCTTCTTCATCAGATTGCCAGGAAATCGCCAACAAGGGTGCCAAAGAAAGCGGGCTTTACTTCATCCGGCCTCTGAAGTCGAAACAGCAGTTCTTAGTGTACTGTGAAATCGATGGATCTGGAAATGGCTGGACAGTGTTGCAGAAGGTAACTGCCTCTGGTGGCATCTATATTAAATAATGTCCACGGTGCTCTGGACACCTCTCTAAGCACCCCGTGAACATTGGCCCACATAACCCTCACTGTAGCCTCTTTGAGGCGAACCGTATTCTCCCCTGAACTTGTAGAAGAGACGCTGAGGCATGAGACCACCTAAGTAATGAGTACATTATTCTGCTGTCTCATGTTATACGGTCATGGATGCCAGGTCCTTTAGTGAAGGTGTGGAAGAGGCCAGTTTCCTCAGGTCGAGAGCTAAGGCTGACCATCAAGAGTAACTAAAGCCTGTCCTCCTTTTTATTTTTATTTTATTTTAGGTATCTGCCTACCTGGTAGCCACTGCAAAATTAGTCTTTTTTTTTAACCTTGTATACTTCCTGTCATGCAGCATCCCCTGCAGGGCTGATTATTGGGGTGTGATTGAGCAGTGCACTGTGTTACCAAGTATGAATTCTGAGGATGTCTGTGGGCTTTCAGAAAACCGACAACCAAAACTAAAAATGAGAAAAAAAACCCTCTCCTTAATGTAGGATTAAACATGCAGCAGGCATGTGTGTGTTTGTCTGTGCGTATATGTATATGTGTGTTTGTGTATGTGTGTGCTTGTGTGTGTGTTTGTGTGTGTATGTGTGTGTATTTGGATGTGTGCTTGTGTGTGTATGTGTGTGTAGTTGGGTGTATTTGGGTGTGTGCTTGTGTGTGCTTGTGTGTGTGTTTGTGTGTGTATGTGTGTGTATTTGGGTGTGTGCTTGTGTGTGTATGTATGTGTGTTTGTGTGTATGTGTGTGTATTTGGGTGTGTGTTTGTGTGTGTATGTGTGTGTAGTTGGGTGTATTTGGGTGTGTGCTTGTGTGTGTATGTATGTGTGTTTGTGTGTGTATGTGTGTGTAGTTGGGTGTATTTGGGTGTGTGCTTGTGTGTGTGCGTGTGTGTATGTGTGTGCAGGTGTGTGATATTGACAGTCCTCAGAGCATCTTTGTCCTATCTGGTAGGCGATGAAATGGCGGCATCTTGCACGGGGTCGGTTAGCTGCCGTGGGCAGAATCATAACCTCCACGCTTTGAATGTTGTTTCTTTACACGCACAAATCGCCTGCCCTCTCCTCTTGTCCACGCTGCTGCAACCAGAGGCTTGATGGCAGTGTGGATTTCAAGAAGAACTGGATTCAGTACAAGGAAGGGTTTGGACACCTGTCTCCCACCGGCACCACGGAGTTCTGGCTGGGCAATGAGAAGATTCACCTGATAAGCATGCAATCGACCATCCCCTACGCGCTGAGGATCCAGCTCAAAGACTGGAACGGCAGGACCAGGTAGGGTGTGGAAGGGACTTTCACTTTCTCTTGTAATGTTTTTGCTGCAAATGGGCAGTGGCCAACCACAGAACAGTCTGAAGATGCAAAAACTGTATCCAGGTTCTTTGCAGGAGGATGTTTGCTTCTTGGTCAGCCTTTTTTTTTTTTTTTTGTGAATATCCTCCATTTCCCAAGTGCAAAGTATTAGGGAAGAACTTAGATATTTTCTGGAAATCTCTATTTATTCACAAAGGGCAGTGATTCTCTCTGCTCTGCAGAAACTATAGCTCCCTTCACAAGTTTTCCCAAGGACATATCTGTGGCTCTGTGGCTCTCATTCCGTGCATCACACGGGGTCCAGGGCTTCTGGGATGTTCTAGAGAGTCTTTGTGCCAGGCAAGCCTTCAAATGGTACTGGTGGAAAAGGCACCTGCCTCCTCCCTCTCTGGGGCGTGGGTCCTCTCGCTCTAGACTGTCAGCCTATGATAATGTGTGCACAGTGGTAACAAAAGAAAGAAGAAATAACTAGACTTCCCCAAGTGTTTTCATCTGATATTAGGATCCTGTGACTAAAACCCAAGCGTGTGGCTTTTTAGCTTTTCTGGGATTCTCTGAAGGCTTTTAGATCCATTCTGGGTGGTGGGATGAGCTCGGGACTGTGCACACAGGCATTGCCTAGATTTGCAGAAACCCTCGCTCCATTTGTCTGCTCTGGCCTTGTGACTGAAGATACGCCATCCTCCATTCCATCCTCACAGCACTGCAGACTACGCCATGTTCAGGGTGGGTCCTGAATCTGACAAATACCGCCTGACCTACGCCTACTTCATCGGGGGAGACGCCGGAGACGCCTTTGATGGCTACGATTTCGGTGATGACCCCAGTGATAAGTTCTTCACGTCCCACAACGGCATGCAGTTCAGCACCTGGGACAACGACAACGATAAATTCGATGGCAACTGTGCCGAGCAGGATGGGTCCGGTTGGTGGATGAACAAATGTCATGCTGGTCACCTCAATGGAATTTATTACCAAGGTAATGTTTTTCTTTAGTTATGAGTAATGGGTAATGGATGCTTAATGGCCAGGTGATAAAGAGAAGCAGAGAGATGAAGAATTACAGTAAACACAATATGGTTTTTTACTTTATAGCTCTTTACTTGAAATCAGAATAGAATAACACTAACTACCCATTGGCGTTATCTTAATAATATTAAGCTTCTGCCTACAGCGGTCACCTCTATAGTCCCTCCTCCTCCTAAGACATCAGTGTTGGCTTATTGTTCTGGAACTCTCGTTGTCTGGGTTGGGATTTGGGGCAGCGGTGTCTCCTTTGGACCTACCACGTGTATGTATGATATAGATGGACCAGCATAGCCATGTCCGTGCTCATGGACACGTTACCCTGGCTCAGCTGCCTGTGAACCACGTGTCAGATAAAAACGGTGGCCAGTGAACAGATGTTGGGAGAAATGGAATAAGAGGCAAAGAAGTGCTCGTGAGAGCAAAGGCTCACAAAAGCTTCAGTGATGGTGGAGGCGAAGGTTTCTGTAAGGCTGAAAGGGCTTAGAACACTGATTTCACCAACCACCTAGCAGTTCTGAACGGAGAGACCCCAGGGATTCTAAAGGCTCTTTCAAGAAATTAGAGCACAGCCCTGTCTACTGACAAGAAACTGCACAGTGATGTAAGACAACTTTCTAGAGACCTTCATAGAATCTTTTATTACCAAGATTATGCTCTTATACTGTGTCAGATCACCTGATCAGGAATTTATGGGTTTACCATAGTAACCTGAATGCAGATGGCTTGCTTCCAGTAGCTGAGAGAGAGAAAAACAGAGATGGAGACAAAGACAGATGGGGACAGACAGACAGAGAGACCAAGAGAGATAGAGAGAGGCAGACAGACAGACAGACAGACAGACAGACAGACAGAGAGACCAAGAGAGATAGACAGAGACAGGCAGAGGTATTCCAGGCTTGGAAATAATGCATATACTTCAAGTATGTGTGTGACCACGAAAATGGCTTGTTGGTTTTCAGTCAGGAGGAAAGGCTATAAAGGTGAAGATGATTGTAGGGACCCCGAGGTGAGGAATTGCAAGGAAAAAGACCCATGTCCCTCCAACTCATTGCAGGGGGCACGTACTCCAAGGCCTCGACTCCGAATGGCTATGACAATGGCATCATTTGGGCGACGTGGAAAACGCGCTGGTACTCCATGAAGGAGACCACCATGAAGATAATCCCCTTCAACAGACTCACCATTGGAGACGGGCAGCAGCAGCACCTGGGGGCGTCCAAACAGGTCAGCGTGGAGCATGAAGTTGACATTGAGTACCCATAGGTCACCTGCCTACAAGTTCCGAAAGACATCCACTGGCCTGTACAATGCGCCAGTGATCCCCATAGTCTTACTCTATTTATCAATTTTAAAATTTAGTTCTTAAAATGACACTTAGTCCTAAATGAAAATGAAAATCCACTTTGGACCATATTTCTAACTGACTGGAATCAGATTTATTAAAAATTGCTTATTTTGTTTGACCTTTGCCCTAAGTATTAAAAGCAAAACTACTGCTTTATTTTATGATCAGCTGTAGTTTATTATTTCTGTTGTTGTTTTTATTGTTTCTTAAGTACTTTAGTGTATACTAAAAAAATAAGAGAAAACTTTAGAATTTCACATGTATAATTTTCCCGTATATCTTACCTCTACATAATTCATATTTAGTTCTTCTTTTTTAAACAAAACAGTTATATTTTTTAATATATTTTTGTTTTATTATATATTCATAGGCTGGAGACGTTTAAAGAACATTTCAAAGCTGATTTGCTTTTTTAAAGACTTTATCCGAGCAAAGCAATATAATATTTTTCTTATGAGACAATGGACCTTCAAAGGCTCACTTCATTTTAAGAGTTAACGGAATCCATGTTGAAAACTCCACTAGCAGTTTATGCTGGCGATAATTTATCTACATGCATTTCAATAAACGTCATTTTGTTTCCTAAGATGAGATATTTGGTGCCTTTTATTGACCTTGCCGAGCATCACTTCCCCCCAATTACTGTTAGTTGCTGAGTTTCCATGTTACGCCACACATAGGAGCTGAGCCAATGGGAACGGAAGGGAAACAAGAACCATGCCTCTTGCTCTCCAAGGGTACGAGAAATCCAGAATATAGTAGCTCAAGGCGACAGAGGTGGCAACCTAAAGTGACAGCATCCAATGTAAGAACACAAGCAGAAGTGACAGAGTCACAAGCACACAGCAAAGGCACATCGTCGGCCAAACACACTGCTGGCATAAGCTTAACTCCTATCTCACGCAGAACGGTGATCCAGAGCAGAAAGCTGGGGGGACACACTGCCCATCTCACAGGTGAGCACGAAGGCGAGCAGAGGAGCCATTTACTCGTTCTAAATGAGGGATAATGAGGTCCTGGAAGTTTGCTTCAGCTGGCAGTCACTTTCAGGGATCAGCCAAGCCTGGGAAACTTGCTCCAGGTGGCCATACTGAGTGCTTGTCGTCGTCCTAAGAAAAGACCGCCTTGTGCTGATGACCTCAGCTTTAGCTTTGGATAGTCTTATTTTCCACCATTTCTTTCCAGATTTTCTCATTTCTTGATTCTCTTAACTCCCCATTTAAAAATATTCTGTAGAGATGCCACTACATTGCTTAACTTACTAGAATCAGCTCATATTCATTTTTCAGTTAATTTTGAGTCACAGAAAATGTATTAATTTCAAACTTATGCTTATTTGGTTATTAACATCTCCTGGTGAACCTTGAGGGTTACAGTTTCAGAAACAAGGCGTGAAAAATACTTTCAGACTCAGTTAGACCGCGTCTCTGGTACTTTCAGACTCAGTTAGACTGCGTCTCTGCGCGTAATGGGAACGTTTAAAGCACTGTCACAGCAAATCGACCACAGGTGCAGCCTTTAAAGCACAGCGAAGTGTTCGGGCCTCACACAGACCGTGGGGCTCCCCTCCGCTGCTTGGAACCGCTGGTAAATACTGCTCACCTCTCTCCTTTACTTCTCTGAGCACTGGGAAGCTTCAAAACAGAGAGGCTAAATACCAGGTCCCAAGGTTCCACCCCTAACCTCTAGAGCGAAGCTTCCTAAAAGGAAAGGGACTACAGACCTGGGACAGTGTTGTGGTTTTGGTAGCACGCGGGGCATCCTGGGTCCCATCCCCAACAAAAACAAAAGAAAATAAAAAGTCTTGGTGTTTTAGCTCCAAGCCATTCGACTGTAAGGAAGATGTCTTGTGTTCATAGGCAAGAATAACTATTGGCCCAATGCCGTGGTTTAAAACATACCTTTCTCCAGTCCTTGCAGCGGTGTGGGTATGTTGAAGGTGAGTGGGTACTGAAAAGTTGTAATCAGTAAGCTATGGGTGCCGTGACCCATAGCTTTAATCTTAGCACTTGGGGAGGCTAAGACAAGTGGATCATGAGTTCAAGACCAGCCTGGGCTATAGCATGGAGCACTGTCTCAAGAAAAAAAAAATGTCAAGGAAAAAAGGAGTGGGAAACAGAGAAGGAAAAAAGAGGAAGGGGGAAAAAGAAGGAAGGAGGGGAGGGAGAAATGTAAGTATAGACACCACAATGAGAGCTTCCCAAGACCTTAAATTATTTCACTTTGACTCAAATCAGCATGGATTAACAAAGGTATCTTTGTAGTAGATACCGTGGTTTATGCCGGTAAATGTGAAAAACTGCCGGACACATTAAGATCTAGGAGAAAGGCCTAGCTACCAGTTTCTTCTTAGTTTGGTGACGCTTGAGAAGAGTTGTAAGTGGAGGCTTTGTGTCCGTACCTGGCCACCCAGTTCCAAATAATCACACAGAAACTACGTTAATTACGCAACACTGTTTGGACAATAGCTTACGCATATTCCTAGCTAGCTCTTACACCTTAAATTAACCCATTTCTGTTATTTTTTTATTTTACCACGAGGCTCATGGTTTGTTACCTCTTGTTTCTTGGGTAGCTGCATGGTGTCTCCCTGACTCTGCCTACTCTCTCTATATCTTTGGATTTCCTGCCTGGCTTTATTCTGCTAAGCCATTGGCCAAAATAGCTTCATTCATTATCCAATAAAAGCAACACATATACAGAAGGACATCCCACATCAAAGATTGATGTAGCTGTTGGTTCAGTGGTTAAAGCACTGGCTGTCTGTATCTCTAGAAGCCGACATGAACCCAGACTCTGTGGTGCAAACCTGGAATCAGGGCTGTGGAGAGGCAGAGGTGCAGCTCAGGACACTCAGGGGCCAGCCAACGTGGAATATAGAACCCTGTTTCAAATAATGTGGGGGGTGAAGACCAGCATCAGAGCACACACACACACAGCACATGCACACCGCACTCACTCATGACCACACACACACACACACACACCACAGCACAGCACACCACCCTCACTCATATGACCACACACACACACACCACAGCACATGCACACCGCCCTCACTCATGACCACACACACACACACACACACACACACACACACCACAGCACATACACACCGCCCTCACTCATATGACCACACACACACACAAGGGGGCAAGGCAAGTGTTAAGAAATAGCGTGAGGTGAAAATATTAAAGATAGGCAGTTAGTCCACGTAGACGAGGACCACTGAGTGCAGAAGGAACCTTACTTCATGTACGTCCGTGTGGATGTGCTCACCGTGGGAGGCAGAAGCCGAGAGGCTCCCATTCCTGGTACAATATTCCCTTTGGCCTGTGCTGGGTCAGTCTCTAGAGTTATTAACTATTATTTATTCAAATTCCCTTACTTACTGAGCAGTCAGTGTAAGAAGTCTAACAAGAACTACTTTACCTACCTGCTTTTTTGCTTAGCCTCGATTGTACGTGTAAATCATTTTAAGTTAACAAAGGATACTTTTCTATAAATCAGTGGTACTGAGAACTGAGCCTCAATTTATCTGTTGCTAGTCTGCACCAAATACAAAAATCTGGGATTATCACGTAGAAGAAATTTTTGTCTATATTATGTTTGCTTAGCTTATAGTTATTAAAATGTTTCTGCCTTTTGAATCTAGCAAAAACTGGGGGCTGTGTTTTATGTAGCTTTATTTGTTCATTTTTTCTTTTGTTTTTCATTTTGTTTTGTTATTTGTTCTATGTAGCCTTGGCTGGCCTGGAACACAAAGCTCTGCCTGCCTCTGCCTCCCGAGTGCTGGGATTAGAAACGTGTGCCACAGCATGGGAGTGGGAGAGATATCCTCACTCACCCACCCGCCAACCCCCGAGGCAGATGGGCGAACTGTCCCCATTACCCCGCTGTCATACAGCAGCATGGGGGACATATCCCCCCACCCTCAGGCTCCACAGCTGGGAGAGCTGGGACTGGGGCCATAAGAGTAGAACAGAAGAGCCATCAGTGCCCGTTATTAGTCCCCGGGAGAGTGGGCCGGGCAACACGGTAGAGCTGGTCCGGAAGGTGTGGGTGTGGCCCTACCGACCCCCACCCCTTGCTGGTAGACGCAAGGGTGAACTCGCTGGGGCAATGCTGGAAAGCCCACCCAGGGGGTGAAGACGGGAGAGCCGATGGGCTAACCAACTCTGCAACCACCCAGGCCCAGAACCAAGGTTAAGTGCTGGCCCACCATGACATCCACCTCATCTGTATCTGGAGGAGCACAGGTTAGGGGCGGGGTCTTAAGAACTCAGGGCTACCGGATGTCCATGACACAGAGCAGCAATGGGATGTCCAGGAAGAGTCCGAGTGAGGGCCCAGAGTTGGTAGTGTAGCAGAGCTGGGGCCTCCAGCCACACCTCTGGCACTTTGAGACGAACACACCTGCATGTAAAGAAAGTGTGGATAAAGGGACTCACTGAGTGACTCACTCTGCCACACTGCAGCTTCCATCGTGAGATTTCCCTTCCTTCTGCTTTTTTCTTCTTTCTTTTTCTTTTCTACCTTAAATTCTATTTTGTTTTATTTGGGGGAATTTCAGAGGGCGAATGTGAGGGGAAGGGAGATGGGTGGGGATTGGGACGCATGATGTGAAAGACACCAAGAATAAACAAAAAGGTTTTTTTTTTTTAAAAAAAAAAAGGTGTTTGCCACTATACCCAGCTTTTTTGTGTAGCTTTTAAAATGTTTATTTATCTAGTAATTTGTTTCCATTGTGTTTTATAAATTAATACACCTATAACTGAGTAGAATTTTAATAAGAAGTGGTTCTTTTTAACAAGCAGTGTGAGAATCTCTAAAATCCTCATTGCTCTGCTTTCCCCTCCCCCCTTCTCATTCTTTCCTTTTCTTTTTATTTTTGACGGTGTGAACATCCAGCCCAGAGTCCTGCACAGTCTAATACAGTTCAACCCGGCAGTTACACCCTTTGTTCAGGGACCTTGCTGCTGTTTTAAGAGCCTTCTCCAAGTTGAAAATGTTATAATTTCCCTCAGCTTCCCTTTGAGTCCCGGCATTTTAAAATAAATGTTATTTCCAAACTTGTAATTTTTCAAATATGTTTTAAATTGTCATTTAAATGCCACATTATGACAGCCTCTGTGCTCTTGGCTTGGGCGAAGGTAAAGTT